CCCAGTGGAGTCGCCAAGTTGTCGAGACAGTATTTTCCCGGCGAAAACAAGTGTCGTTATTTTCTAAATCTCACCTCGAAAAAGTAAGTGTTTTTCTTATGATATAAGATAAAACACAAATTTGAGGAGTCACCACCAATCATTTATCGAGGTGTGATTGGTCACCAAAATACTATGTTATTTAATAAAATTTATAAAAATATTATTAAAATAACACAAAAAAGGTCTACTTACCAGAAAATGAGTTCGGGAGTCGATTACGTGTGGGGAATGATTAACACTCCCACAAAAATAGTTGTCCATTGTTCCCGTATGTAATGGGGTAAGGGGGTAAGTTAGTAGGCTGCCCCCAACACCAGGTTGAGAGCAGCTTCCATAGAAGACCTCCGAATTATGATTAACACTCCACAACGCCAAAATTGGTACCTTTATTTATTAATTAATTAATGTCTTTGCAGTAAAATTTATAAATTTGAATTTAATTTAATTTTTTATCCCATAAAAAACAATAAGGATATTATTTTATATCAATAAATTATTTAAAAATATATTCCTGATCAATTAAGAAAATATTTTATAATTTATTGTATAAAATAATGTAACCTGATTACATATAATAATTTTAATGATTTAATCAAGAAAATATAAAAATTAAAGTTACTATTACAAGTACTTTATATTTTAAATAATCCTAGAATCTTATTTAAAAAATTAAAATATTAAAATTATGAGACTAAATTAAAAAATATAAAAATTAGAGGTTCATTTGAAATACTATAATAGTCAAAATATTACTAAAATTAAAATATTAAAGATTAGGGATTAAAATATCAAAATTTAGGAATTAAATTTAATATTTACCCTAAATATATATGTGCATGATTAAGTGACTAAAATAAATAAAATAAAATTATATATTCGAATTAAAATGCATAAAATATGAATTCAGTGACTAATATAGAAATTTATAAAATCTCAATGATTGCGGACATAGTTTACCCGTGAAACAAAATTTCTCTCTCGCCTCTCTTTAAAAATCTCTCATCGGAGAGAGGCCCACGGTGGCCGAAATTTACAAACTTACCCCAAAATGACCATCTTTTCCACCTAAACTCAAATATAACCTTTTTAGTCCTAAAAAATCCCTCAAAATTAGTAGATCTAAGCAATAACTGAAAGTTTTACCTCGGTTTACACAAAAGTTTCCGACGGCGTTTGGTCTCTCCGAGGGTAAACTGCTCATTCTCCTCTTCTTTCTCATTGTTTCTCAGTTAGTTGTATATTTCTTCCTTGTTGGTTCGATCTCCCCGTTGGTGTCCTCCTCCTTGCTCTCCCTATCTTTGCAGGAATTCAAGGCTTTTTATAGGCCTCGATGAGCCACTATTATATTGAACCCTTCGGTGAGTCACCGGATCTATGATGGTGACTCACCGTAGCTTCGATGAGTTGTGCGGTCTTCTTTGCGTTTTCTGGAGCCTTCGGTGGCGTGGCAAAATTTAGCGGCGGAGCAATTGGATGTAGGCGGCGGAGCAGTTGGATGTAGGCGGCGGAGCAGTTGGATATAGGCGGCGGAGCAGTTAGATATAGGCGGCGGAGCAGTTGTAGGCATCACCAAAGTCTCCCTAAGGTTGGTGAACCCTAGGGTTGGTGAACCTTAGGATTTCTGTTGGATTCATTCTGGGCCGTTGGATGGCTGCTAAAGAATCGGGTTCTTCGGGCCGGATCTGGTCTTGTTGGGCCTTCGGGTTACTTGGGCCTGGATCAGTTTTGGGCCCGACTCGGGTTGAACTTGTAAACAGGCCTCCGGGTCCTGATTTGTAAATATCTACTATAATAAAATTTATCATTTATTAATAATATTTATAATATTAATACAATAATAATATATACATAATAATATAAATAATAACGGGACGAAAATGACTGTCGACAATGGTGATAGTCTAATCTCTTAGGCACATGAGCTTCTGGATTTACTGAACTTGTAAACATATGCTTAAACCCAATAAACTTTGTGCTACTTTTGGTATTAAAAATTAGCAATGGGCTTTGAATCGGGTATTCGGAGGACACGACCCAACACCTAAGCTTACATTTGCTATACTTTTCCATGGACATAAGATGAGATCAAGAACTTCAAGTAAGTGATTGAGATGTTTGAATATAGTCTGCATTGTTCACTTGGTGATTCACAAAGAAATTTGCTATCCACAATAACTAAATTAAGAATGTCTGATTGCATCGTAGGATACATCGCTCATAACCATTTAATGTTTGAAACTCAATTCCTCCTCGATGCTTGAAACTATAATTCCTTCTAAGCTGCACTTGTCACTGTCTATCATTAACAAAAGAAACTGAAAGCAGAAAAGCCTTGACATATATCATGTGATGCAAGGTGTAATGTCATTGCTATAGCATCTTTTGTAACAAGAAAATGAATGATAGCCCTAACATAAATTATGTTTTCATGATTTCAAAGTGAAAATGGTGTATATTGAAACGAGAAGTTATTTATGTGTTTTTTTAGCTTTTAGTTTGGGTAATTTATTGACCTACAATAGTGATTCCTTAGATTGAAGTGGAGTAGAGTTGCATCGAGTGGGCGACGACTTTCAAGTAAGGCATGTCTGCTCATACTGGCGCCATAAACTTTCCAATGTTACTATTACATTACAAAGAAAAAGGGCCAATATGACTGAGGTTTCGGCCATATCGCAAGGAAAGGAGCCGTGTCAAGCATGAGACATCAAACGTTTATTCTTATTCTGCAATATTGAATTGTGCAAGTTATCTGGGACGTATATGTTGTTGGCCTTACTCTCTGTTTCTCTTGCTCACGTATAAGAAGTAAACTTGTATTGATGGTGCATGGTGTGTATCCAAATGACATCTTGGTAGTAAATTGCAAAAAACCCTTGCTTGATCCATGCAACTGTCTTTATTAGCACTCTTTATTTTAGTTATGCTCACTATTCTGATTAAGATGAAGTATATGAATCTTGACAATATTTGCTTGATCCAAACCCTTGTATATTCATTCTCTGCAATTTCAGGAAGAAGCCCCTGAAACCAACCCACCCTTTAAAATTTTCCCAGCTCAGGCTTTTCCATTAGTCGCATCAGAGGTTGATAACAAAGGGCATCAATTTGACTTCAACAATATTCTTATAGATCCTTGTGCAAAGCTAGAAGAATGTCGTCCAACTTTTGGAGATCCAAAGCATAAATTATCAAAATTTCTTGCAACTTACGATTTTGATAGCTTGCCTTTTGACTGGGGCGATGACTACAAGCTCCCAAATATATGAAATGAATGCTCATGCTGATGAACGTAGTTGTTTGAATCGAAATATATGTGGCACTTATGCCGGTCTGGTTCAGAAGGTATTGATTTATTGCATTATGCTCAATCACATTCTAAGAAATTGCTACCTGAATAATGTGTTGATTACTAGAGCTTTCAGTTTGCATTTATCATATGTAATTGAATCTTAACTCTAAGCTATAACCGAGAGTTGAACAATATGATAAAGATACTTATTATTGACACAAATAGGGTTTTGGTTTAAGACATGGGCATTCTAGAAGGATGGGTTTGCAATGATTGGCACATCTGATGTTTGCTTTCCCGAACGAAGAGCAACTTTTTTTCTGCAAACAAATTGTCTGTAGCAGTCCCCAGCAATCTTTACAAAGATTGGAGTGGAGCTGCAATTTTGTTAAATTACTTGAATATGAGGTTAGGAATGGATGCTGAGATTGCAGGTGGAACCCAATCTCGCATTCCCGGATGAATATGAGGCTAGACATTTTACTTTGGAGGGCCAATCATCAAAAATATAATTTTGATAATAGCTTTATCTATTAAATCTCGTATATTTATATGTGATTTTATTAAACAAATGTAGATCTATTATATCTTTCTTTCCTTTTTTTTTTTGGAATTTTTCTTGTAAAGAAAATGAAATGAAATTATAATAGCAGATTTCGACACTCATTATAGATGAAACATCTAAAATATTAAGAAAATTAATAAGAGTTTACCTTTATTTATAGAATAAAATAAAAACTTAAAACTATTTAAAATATTATGTCATATTGTTGATTTTTTTTTAATTTTCAATCATTAAATTTTTGAAGAAAATCAAATTTCAACCTCGTCTAATGTAATTTTTCTTATTTTATTTTATTTAAAAATACTATAAAAATAGGAGAAAAGAAGAAACCCATGATTTGAAATATAAAAAAAATATTGAAATAAATAAGTGTAAATTCATATATTTATGATTTGTATACATGACAATTCGAATTATATATATATTTGATTAAGCTAAGGTGATTACAAAATAATATCCGTTCTAAATACTCTCAATCATTTGACAATGAACACTCAATTACCCTGTTGTAGCTGCTAGTGCTCGAACCCATTACTTTTAGAAACAATAACGATTCCTTTAACCAATGAGGTAAGTCGGTTCATGTATATTTTGAAAATATCAATTTAATTTCATTTATAAACATATAAGTATGTATATATTTATTAAAATGAAATTTTAATAATTTTTAAGAGAACAAAATATTCTAAGTGAGATAAATAGAATTTTTAAAAACTTTGAAAGGTCTTGTAATAATTTGCCCAAATTTTGAGGGTCCATGGCCCCATATAGTTCTGTGTAGTTCCGCCTCTGCTCGTCACCCACGATGTGGCTCCCTACTCTTTCATTCTGGTCTGACCTGACCTCCAGATGGGTCAATGTAGTTTTGTCTCTGTTCCTACTTACAGTGTGACTTCCTACTCTTCCATTCTGACCTGATCTAACCCCACCCCAGATGGATATCAAAAGGAGTATGATAAAATTTGTTATGATTATATTGTATAAAACGATTTGTTCATCTTTTTAGTTCTCAAAACATTTGAAGAAAATAAAATAAACTCCCATACAAATTGAAAATTCCATTAATCATAAACTCATTAGGTTTAGGTAACGATCCATATCATTGAAAAATTCCAATCAATCAACACGATACAACAATGAACCATAACTTAGTTACATATGATAAACGCATCTAACTCAAGAAAGCTCAACCACCTCATTCATGAACATAAGCAATGATCCTCGATGCAAACAAAGATAAAAATGGATTTTCTTTAAGTAGAAGCGAAATGAGATCAGCAGCACTGCCTCTATCCTGACCAAGGCCATCACTCTTCGCCCACAAGCTCAATTATGAAATCACCATAAGAAACAATGCAACCCACGCTGTGACAACAGCCACAAATGGGGAGAGACTCCATGATGAAGAATCCGCGGCTTTGGTTGTTGCTGTTGTGGTAGATGGTGTGGTGGTTGATGGTTTATCGCTGGAAGGCGGCGAGGAAGCGGTGGAAGAAGACGGTGACTTAGCCGACGACTTGGACTTGGACTTGGATGGTGCCGGTGCCGGTGCCGAGCCTGACTCCACTTTAACAGCAAGCTTCATGCCATTCCCACAATGGCCCACCACACCACAAATGAAGTAATGAGTCCCGGCCTTCTTGAGAGCAACGGTGGTGGCTCCACTGTTATCTGTTGTGATGGCATTGCCCACCGTGCAAGTACTGTAGTCACTTGAACTCACTTCATCCACTGTATGGCTAGTTGGGTAATTGAAAACTAGGTTAACCAAACAACATTCAACCATGTCAGTTAATGATGGATCAGTCTAAATATGCTCCGATCAAATGTGAAATTCATTTGAAAATTCGGGTTTAGAGTTTACAACTCACCAAGGCTATCACCAACTTTGAAGGTCTTACCACTAGTCCATGTGCTATAATCTACCCCAGTTGTCCAGCCAGAGGCGTCACCAACAGTGTAAACTTTGGCCAAGCTCGGCACCACCATACATGAGACCAACAAAAGACAAGCCATTCCCACACTTGAGCTCGCCATTCTTTTTGCAGAGTAATTGACGACGTAAAACAGGGACATAAAAGAGAGGCTTGTGTGATGGTAACTTTCCGAAATGGGATTCCTTTTATAATGCCACGAAACGGGGGGATGGTGTCATGGGGCGGAGTATCCTCTACCTAATGCGATGGGTCCCTGACCTTTATCTCTCTCTCTCTCTTATATGACCTACGCTTAAAAACAACGGTTGTTAAGTAGGGACCTCAATGTCTAATGGTGGTTATCTGGTTATGACGCTAAAGATATTTCAAAAGACATCAATTATGCATTCAAGCTAAGGGAACTCCACCGATATTTAATGCATCCTTTTCACCTCTTTGAGTGATGGATTGTGAATAAAGAAAAGCATGGAAAAGGCTGCTTCTTCTTTTCTCCTAGATTATTTCGTAAAACAGGTTAATTTGTTGTCATCATGTCATGTGGTGTTGTCAAACTGATGAACAAGGTCATTGTATCATTAATGGAAAAAGATGGGTTACAGTGATGCAAACAGGGTGGAACGTTGTGATTAACAATGCTTGAACTCTAATCAAACATAATGCGATCCACATTAAGGAGACTAAACCCTTCTTTGAAACACGAACCTTCCTTCCAACAACCCCGTAAATGGCCATTTCTCATTGCGTATGTGCAAAACATGTGATAACTTGGACATTCAACTAACGAGGAGTTCAACAAAATCCCAGACAGAGGAAGAACAGTTTCACAGTCTCTGAGGTACAAATTCAACCACTATGATCCTAACATTTTTTAAGAAGAATAGATTTAGGAGAAAGAATGATGGAACCTGTAGATTTGATCAAAACATTCCACCTAAAGGTCTTCGCGGGCATCAACGGAATACTGAGGAAAAAGAGAGAAAATGTATATTGAAGCTTAATTATTACTCCAAATTTATTTACTTGCATCCTCTTCGTATATTATTATTATAAAGTTTGGTATATTCATCAATAAATGTTTTATTAGTAGCAATACAAGTTGTGTTCTTAAAGAAAATGAATTCAAACTTCAAATACAATACAGTACCGGCTTTGGGTATTTTTTGGCCCGGGGCGAAATAAAAGAAATGAGCCTCTATTTATGTGATATTAACATGCATAGCTTAGATATTACTATGAAAAATATTATGGGCCTTGGGCGGGCGCCCCTCCTGCCCGGCCCTGATACAACATTGTTTGGTTGGACAACTACAACTTCGAACTTGGACATAAAACATATACTAACAATATTAGTTTTTTTTTTATTCTTACATGGATAAGATTTCATTACACAATATAAATTTTTTAGTTTTACACAATAGGAAATGAGAATATGTTCAATGAAAAAAAAAATAAAGAATTAATCCTAACAGTTTGTGTTGAAATTTAATTATTAATCATATTTGAGCAACTGTCCTTTGTATCGGAGTCCAGCTAGCTAGGCCTGTCATCTTGTTCTACTCATCACCCCTTTCACCAACCGCAATGCCATCCCAACTTCTTTTCCCAAGCTAAATAATTCCTTGTCTCTTCAACCAGAAGGCGACCAACCACCGCCGGGTACCGGCGAAGCCAAGAAAAACTAAACGTACCAGGCTACATATGGTAATGAGGTAATGACTTGATTGCAAGTTTCTAGTAAAGAAGAATTTGATATCATGAAGTGTGGATGAATTAATTATTAAATAAACCCTATTCTTTTCTAAACCTGATACAAAATTTACAAAGGTCTAGAAGCCAGACTTTCCTTGTTAGGTAACTGTCCCTCGTGTCTGATAAAAGATTTGACTAAGATTTAGAAGCTGCATCTGCATGCTGTCCCCAAGTGTTTGTTGCACTTTCAAAATCAGTTGGATTTCCTTTTACAAAATTCCTCTTGGTTCCAAGTTTTGAGATGATAGGGAGGGAGTCTTTCATGATCATCAGGTGTGATAAACCTAATCTACTTCATTCTAAGCAATAGGCGTAAAAGAGCAGAAATAATAATACACAAATGAAATGAAAACAACTTTAGTCGGTGGCTGCTTGTTCCAAAGTAGTGTTCAATTCAGTTTAATTATCATCAGAGACTGAATCTGTTCTGATTAAAATTTCACAACTAAGTTTAATATTGGTCTTCCCATAAACATCTGCAAAATAAACAAATTCTTATCGTCGAAAACTCTTTCAGATGTTCAGCTCTTGCTTAATATGAAAGATTAGCCAAAAACATGTCGAATACTAGAACTAGCTTGCTTTCTCAGGTTTTGGAAATTTGTTCTTCTTAGCTTTAGCATAAGGCACGACCCTCTAATGCATATATCAGTTAACCAGGATAATTAACAAAAGCCCTCATAAAATACATGTACAATTAATTACATCATTACTTGGCCAGCAAGGACCGAGCTGGAATTTTAGTTCAAGGGGGCAAAGTATAATTAACAATAGAAAATGAGGGGTAAAATCAAAATAAATTAAAATTTAAAGGTCTAAATAGGTAATTGTCCCATTATTCTTTAATGATAAAAAATTTTGGGAGGCAAAATCAAAATAAATTAAAATTTAAAGGCCTAAATAGGTAATTATCCCATTATTCTTTAATGATAAAATATTTTTGGGGAGGTGGTATGTACCTCGGTCTCTGTTGGCCAGGGCAAATTAGCTTTAAGTACAAACTTAATCCATCAAGGATTTTGCTAACAAACGTCATCAAAGCACTGGTTAAATAAGTATTCAAAGAAATGTATTTGTCCAATTACTGGTTAATTACATAATTCACGTAAGCATTAGGGGACTTACTAGTAAAATCATGCAAATATATAAACCTGTGTTGATATGATACGCTTACATATGATTCAAGATTACTGAGAGCCGCCAGATCCTCCTCCGGTGAAGCCACAGAAACTAATGCCAAGTTGGCAACACCCTATTTCTGGTCTTGCCGTGCATAGAAAGCTAAAGAAAACACCAAACAAAACAAAACAAGAAGGAAATCGCATATCAGTTCTTGAAACAAAGAGAATCCCAAGGGAGAAAAAATTCGACAAAAACCTCGACATCTAGGACTGTGTCGTGTTTCTCGAAGGAAGAACGAATGCCTTCCGTGGTACAATTCCAGGCAAGCAATCTAGTGTTAGACAACTTGTTTTGTTCTTCTTTTACATACAGAGCTGGGAGTTGGGTAGTGGGAGAAAATCGGAGGACGAAACTGTTAAATATTGTAGCTCTCAAGCAAATGGTATTAGCGTGAGGAGGTGATAGATGGAAAAAACAAGTTGAAGAGACGTTTTGCACGGAGATGAAGTTGGATTGATTTTGAGGTTTTTTGTCAGAGAGAAAAGAGAGAAGATTGGTGGGGAAGGCAAGGCGTAGCCATGAGAAGAAAGCAAATTTGCTCAGTTTGAGTTTGGTGTTCGGATTGTTTGAAGCCAATAGCATATCTATTTCAGGAACACACAACATAAATGATTGATTTCAGAAGAAATTAATGATTAGAACTCTCGTTGCTGGATTCATTTGGGAAATTATCTTATTCTATTACATCAGATCAGTCGGGAAAAAGCTTAAGAAAAAGCATCAAATTAACATTACTTATAAAAACAAAAGGACTTTCATTCCAGTGTTTGAAACTATATAACTAACAAACTACATAGATTGTAGCTTCAGAAAAGCTCTCTGTAAATCTACTTAAAACACCACCATTGATACAAAGAATAATCAATGGACAATAAGTTAGGTCCTATCTTGCAATGGTGACAGAGGTTTTCTTGCTGAATCTGGATCGGTAAAGTTAATCTTCTTCTCAATCGGGCTGCATATCTCGGGACTCAATTTTCTTTTGTTTGTCTGTGAGAAAATCAAGCAAATTATAGCATTAAATCAATGGACTTGTGACTACTAACCAGACACATGTAGGAGATTTAGACTAGTTTTTACAGGTGAAAGCAAGCACACACATGTGCAGACCAACAAATACGGAGAATCCGACATATTGTTTTCTCACCTTTGCAGATGCACTGCCAGTATGCTTCCCACCAGAATCATGGAGGTTCTTTCCTTCACGGGATTGCCTCAATAATTTTCGGTTCGCCTCATCCAATATGCTGTTTTCTTCAAACAGAACTTTCACCTGTATAGATAAAATATCCTGTTAAGTTCAGACAAAGGGAATAGAAGTTTCAACAAGCAACCAGCATTCAAATTATTTGGCTCTCGCCTCTTCTTCAGCTTTACTAAGGTTTAGCCAGAGATGTTCCTTGTCTTTCTTATGGGTCTTTACTTCAGCAGCTAGTGACAAAATTTTTTGAGTTGAAGGCCTCAACCTGCAAAGCACAACATAGGTCATTAGAATTAATTCAGAGACATGGGAGTAGCCCTTAGCAGTGAAGAAATAACAAAGTCTCTTAAATTGCGTGCACCAAAAAATCACCATTAACCGACAAAGATGCAGAGGCAACATAAAAGTAAGAGAACAAAACCATCACCTATTCCACATTTTAAGCAACCTTTGGCATGATTCAGGGGAAGTATTTGCCTCCAAGAAAGCACGTCCGGATGTAACTTCATCTTTACAAACCAATGTTGCTAGAACTGAATCAAGTAAATTCTCTTCAACTGTTGTGCCCTCACAAGATGAATCAAGCTTCAGGTACGATATATGATTGTCAGTTTGGAGATATAATAGTCCTTAAGAAAAGTATATATGATGGCATTGTTATCTAATCAATCGTAGGCAATGAAAAGCTGAGATTAATCTTCTCAAAGCAGTTTTACAATGTTCAACTTACTATTTGTTACACTGGGTCAACTGGTCATTCATGGGCCAAAAATCCAAATTTAGCAATAAAATCCAACAAAATCGTATTCTTTACTACAAGAAAAGACAACTAACCAAAGCTGTTCCTAAAAAAACAAAATTTCAGAACTCAGTAACATAAAATTAAAGAGAGTTTCAAAAATTACCCCTTGGCTCTCATAACAGTTTTTGTAGAACCTTAATTCTTCATTTAACTTCCCCAAGCCCTCTTCCAATTCATGAACCCTAACCTCAGCTTTCTTTGCCCTCTCATCAGCCTCATTGCCAAAATCCATCAACGCCTCCCTATCACGGTCATAAAGCAAACACTCTCTTTCCCATTTGTTACACTGGGTCAAAAAATTCGCACACTCTGCCGCTCGCTTCTGATTCTCTTGCACGAATCTCTTCAACGCCACTGCATTCATATTCGCTTCCGCCTTGAAAAGGAAAAAAATCATTAAAAATGTCAACATCTCACATTTTGAAGATAAATATATTACTCATTTTTTTGTTATATTTTCCTGTTTTGTTTTAAAGTTGACCGACCTTTGATTGCTCGATTACTTGATCTTTCTCTTTTAGTTTTGAGAGAAGGAACAGATACTTCTCGCGGAGGCGGCGCTGAGTTTCTTCGGAGGTACGGAGCTTCAATTGCAAAGATTCCGTGGAGACTTGAAGACCTAAGGAATCATCGATCGTTCCTTTTATGTAATCGTCGATTTCTTGAGGAATATCCATGTGTTCAGTCTACTCAAAATTTTGATTGACGAAGAACCCTAGATCTTGCAAACTGCAAAATATAATCTTTTCAAAGAAACTGTGGGTTAAAAAGAAGAAGAAGGAAAAGGTGAAAACAACAAGTAATTCGGAATTGGATTTTTGAAAGACAAAACAGGGAGGGATTTGGGGGACTTTCTTCTTCCAGTTCTCTTTTCACTTTCTTCGAGTGTTTTTCCTTCTCGATTAGTTTCAAATCGTGGAAAAGGGAGTTTGTACATAGCCGTTAGACTGCGCTTTGAAAGCCCAAATCTATAATGTGGCCCCCAACTGCTGACCTGGCAATATCTTTTCTTTTCTCTCTCTCTCTATTTGGGCCAATATTAAGTTGTCATGCGCTTACTAGTATTAATTTTGTCAATTTTGCAGCTTTATTATTTACATATATATTCTTAAAAAATATTTATAAAAAAGATATCCTTTAAGATGTTAGACATTAATTACTTTTTTCTTATCATATATATTATTCAGATTCAAACAATTATATTATAGAGTATATATTATTATAAACTAAAAAATATTAAACAGTTATTATCTTTTAATTATTCAAAAAAAATCTTTTCTGAAGCACGTTTCATAGAATTTAGTTTTATCTTGTAATATCTCGTGTTTGTTTTTGTTATGTACAGTAAATGTATATTTTGGTAATGTTATCTTTTAAAAACACATTGAGTAGGGTATGTTTTTATCAAATTTTATTGATTAACATGAAATATGTTAGATAAAATAATTTTAGTGACCGAAAATGTCTTATAATATACGATTTTAACAATTTTTTTTTGAATTTGCGAAAATGATCAACAAATTCGCAACGCGATCTCGAATTCGGAAAATCGCAACGCGAATTCGGAAAATCACAACGCGATTTACATATTCGCGTTGCGAATTTGAAAACTGAGTTGCGAAATTAGAGTTCGCGTTGCGAATTGGTTGGTCATTTTCGCAAATCCAAAAAAATTTGGTTAAAATCGTATATTATAAGACATTTTCGGTCACTGAATTTATTTTTTTAATATGTATTTGGTCAATCGCTCCTTTTAAGAATTTGAAAAAAAATTATATTATGTCTTTGTAAGAAATATTTAAAGATTTTTGTTGAAATCTACAATAATCGAAAGAGAAATTTATGTGTCGCATTAAAAAAATCTTGTTTTAGATTTAACTAGTTTAATTTTTTTCACTTTTATTTTTAATAAACTCTTCAAACTCAACCTTTTGATTTAAATGTCAAAAATCAAAATTTAATAATTAAAATAAATATAAAGTGATTTTAAATCATAATTAAAATACATTAATTATAAATAATCTAACAATAAATATTTTTAATATAACTCAGTTTTAATTTCATTAAAATCGTGATAATTTTGTTGTATTAGAATAAGAATAAAAACTATTTAAACACTACTTTAATTTTAAATTTTATAATTTAAATAATAATTTATTAATTTAATTTGTTTTCTCTTTAAACTTAATTAAGTTACATATATAATTAAAGTAATTCACAATTCATTTATTTCAATATTGAGAAAATACTATTATTTCACTAAGTAACTTTTGGTAATCTATTTCTCGTAAATAATTCATCCAGATATTTTTTATTTTATTTTAACATACATATCTTTTAAATGATCCATGATAGAATAATATGTAATTTAAATTTAGACTCCTCATCTATTAGTTATATAATTATTTAAATCACATAGTTATCCTATTAAATTGAACTCCATACATATAAAATTACTTAAAGTTAAATTTTTTTCCAAGATCGGTTACTTCCTGGAACCCAAGTTTAGAACAAATGGAGTCTCGAAGGTAAGATGACTTGTTCGGAGAGAAGAAGACAGTGTTTTTGCTTATTAACTTGATGACCGGAGTAGTGTCTGAAGGTGGTAAGGACATCCTCAACTAAAGAGGCGTGGTCCAAGTCTGCCTTAAGATATAAAATGAGATCATCTGCAAAAAAAAAAAAAGTGAGATCGGGGTTCCATTCCGGGATAATTTAAAAGCTGACCAAACGCCGGAAGAGAAAAGGTTGGAGATTGTGTGGCTGAGGCGCTCCATTGTCAGATTAAAAATATACGGCGATAGGGGTCACCTTGTCGAATACCTTTCCCAAGCTTGAAGGTCCAATCCATTCCATTGGATTTGGATTTCAGAAGAGGAAACACCGAGCATGATTAAACGAATAAAGTCGTTTGGAAACCCCACATCAAGGAGAGTATCTTCGATGAAATCCCATCTCAATTGGTCAAAAGCCTTCTGCAAATCAACCTTCATCGCCATCCAACCTGCTTTAGTTTTTTTGGAGTGCATGGAATGCACCACTTCTTGGTTTATGATGACATGAAAATAGTTTGGTTAATTTTTACTAAATATATAATTTGTATATTCATAGTTATATAATTAATAACATATAATGGATAAATATAAATAATTAATATTGAAAATGAATAAATCTCATTGTCGGAACCATCTTTCGGTTGGGCCCAAAATTTGGCTTCGACTTGAAAATGAGAGTTAGAGTCGTCACCGACTATTTTAAAACGAATTTAGGTGGGTCGGACACCATCTTACCTGATATGCGTTTTACCAGAAACATGTCGGGTTCGAAAGTCGGTTACGGTCAAGGAAGAATTAACACCCTTGAACTGCCCTTTCGGTACCAATTAATTTACCGGTTGTCTTTATAGCGAAAATTTAATTTTAATTTTAAATTTAAAATAAAACCTGATTCAAATTATTTACATCTGATTGATTGAAATTTTTCTAAAAGAGTCGAAAATGTTAGATAAAAAATACTAAATAAATATAAAATAAATCAAAGAATAAACATAAAAAATAAAAATAAAATAATAAAATAATAAATCAAAAGGAAAAAATAAAAATAAATAAATAAATAAATATTATATACTTTAACCATTCTACACTATTAAAAAAATAACATTAGTATTGTCGTAACCGATTTTCACCCAAGCACGAAATTTTACTCTGCGGAAAAAGTGATGTGAATAAATGATTTTTAAAATATTTTGGGAGTCACCATCTGCCTTTTGATTCAGGTAGGTTGAATACCTCAAAATTATCTTTTAAAATAGTTTTTAAGAAAATATTAGTTAAAAGATAAACTAGTCTGTGTTTTAATCAAAAATTTATTCTTTTTAATAATAAAAAGAGATTCGTGGTCGGTAATGTTTGGGGGAATGATTATCACCCCCACAACGCCCAAAATTGGTACTCATTAATTATAAATTACCTCTATTATTAAAAATTTAAAAATATATTTAATTCATAATCATGTTATTTCAAATTTATTAATATAATACATTAATATCTATATTTTTAAATAAGATATTTATTTAGAAATATCAGAAAATGGCTTCTAGGTATTTTAAAACAACTCTTTTCTTAATATATAAAAAAATAACTAAATATTAATAAAAAATAATAAAAATATATATTAATATATATAATTGATAAAAGTAAAATATTTATTTAAAAATATTAGAAAATGGACATCTAGTTGTTTTAAGACTGCCCTTTCTTAATATTTAAATATTAAAAATAATAAATTTCTCTAATAAAATAAAACAATGTGTTTTTTGATTTTTATAAGTAAGATATTTATTTATTTTTAAAATATCAGAATAAGACATCTAGTTGCTTTAAGACTGTCATTTTCTTTGATACTAAAAACAAATAAATATTTTTATTTAAACAAATATATATAAATATATATAAATATATATTTATATGACTAATATAATAATAAAATAATAATTAAAGTAATAATTTAAACATATTGAAATTGAAATGATAATAGTACAAAATAAATTGCAATTAAATAGTGAATAAAACATATAAAATTAAAATAATAGGATTAAAATATAAAATATTAAAATGTATAGCCCTTACTCGAAATATTAAAATATAATTACTAATAGTGTAATTAATCTTAATTATTAATCGGTGATAAAAATAAAATTTATCAAAGTTAAAGGCTCTAACTCTAATAAATAAATAAATCTAAGTGCTACTAATGTAATTCAACATTATTTAATTAATTCGGGTTAAAATATAAATTATAAAATTTATAAAGGACTAAATAAGGCATTTAACCTAAATATATAATTATACTGGAAATGACTAAATTATAATAAAATAAACTTACGAGACCAAATTAAAAGTTTAGAATTCGATTTCCAGTGACTAAAATGCAGAGTTACAAAACTTCGATGGCTACGGGCATGGTTATTCCACGCATAAAATTACGAACACACCCCTCCCCAAAACGACGTCGTTCGGGGAGGGGTATAAATACCCGTTTAAACCGGCCCTTAGGCCATATTCCTTCATTTTTCTCTTTGGTCCTCTCTCTAAGGGAGAGAACCCTCTCTCTTCTCTCTAGTTTCCTCTCCCTAGATGAACGGTGGTCACCGACCGACCGCCATGAACCACCACTAACCTCCACCGCGGTAGCCGGAGTTCACTCAACTATACCAAATCGAAGCCCTTTTCTCCCTAAAGCCAAATTCGGGAACCTTTTTCCTCGAAAACCCTTAGATCAACGTAGATCTAAAATTTTACCTTTGATGTGTCAAGTTTTCCGATGACGTTTTGGCTTCCTGACGATGGTAAGTCTTCTTCTCAGTTTTGTTTCTTGGTTGGTTGTTGGTTATTTTGTATGTGTGTTCGTCCTTGCTTGCTTCTTATTGCTGTCTGTTTCTCCTCTCTTGGTTTTGTGTTTCTCTCCTCTTCTGTTATGTTCTCTCATTTGCTGTCCGTGTCCTCTTTTTTTATTTTGCAGGTGGTGGTGGCTTTTATAGCCACCATGGTACTCATTATGGACCGGTCTTAGAGGGGTTTCTCGGTGAGTCACCAAACTATGTGGTGACTCACCATATAACAGTTATCATGGATGGTCGGTGTAGAGATTCTGGAGGCTTCGTCGAGGCGTCACAGCTGTTTCTGGAGTCACCTGGCAGTAGATCGTTGGCAACGAGCGGCGCCGCCGCCGCGTGGTCCTTAGGGTATCATAACCCTAGGGTTTCTTGTTGGAGAGCTTTGGACCGTTGGATCTTGCCAGATCCAACGGTGGAAATCGTTGGCGGCTG